CCCCCAACAAAAAAAAAAAAACCAACCACACACACACAACCCAACCAAAATAAAAAAAAAGAAGGAAAAAGAATCAAAACAAATCTGGTACCTAGCTGCAGAAATCCCCAGTATCAAAAAACTCTTTTTTTAACTAAAAAAAGGTAGAGAGAATGTCTAGTAGAATACTCTGGTGAAATATAGTTTCACACTGCATTGAGCGACACGGAGCCATGATTATGAACCGAATGAGATGGAATCCAGTTCAAACTTGGACCAGTTTTTCTTCAATTCCAATTCCAGTCCCCCATTTCATGCTCCCAAACGCAGCATAAGATCTACAGTATAGTATATACTAAAGTGGAGAAATCGACTGGATATTATAAACAGTCGACTGACATAGAAAACAAAGTTCTGTCAATGCAAGATTATTCCCTGCTGAGGCGGTAAAAATAAAGAACTGAGTGGAGTCCGGCCATCCAACCGCACATTCTCTAGTCCGCACCCAAAAATAAGAGGGGAAGGTAATCTGTTTGTTGAATGGTATCTAGGGAAATTTGACAAACCTTGAGGCCCCAACTCATCGACCCCACGTTACAGGATAGAGTAAGAAATGAACACTTCCTTGGGTTCCACAACATATAATGAGATCCCACACAATTTTAACTATGAAATACACAACTAAGATTACATGCTTACCTATTACAGGCCTACGAGAATTAGGAGTCCTTGCTGTTTGAAATTCATCTGGACACAAATGCTTACGAATTGTTAAACCTTGATTGCTTTTTGGAAGACATAATACCAGACAAGTAGTAGAAGTCGAGCTTACCAAACAAGTAGAAGTCACCTTCGGTGTAGTACTTCACAGCAACCTTAGAAGCAGGCATTGTTTTCAGTCGATCTACAGAAGAAACAGTACAACTGCATATCATGAACCTAATATGCTAGACAGAAATTAAAAGTCTCAATTGGAAAAATGGCATCCATTTTTTTGCAACTATTTGGTTGGTTATGGTCATCTGTAGCATTCTTCTGTGTGCTAAGAGATGTATAAAATGATTTGGGGAATGCATGACCCTGATCCTTCTCAATTCTAGCATGCCAGAGCTTTAAAATCATAATCCAGTGGTGAAATATCTCTACTTGTACAAGTAAAATTGGATACTGAAACTCAACTAAGATCGTAAAATACTATAGAATGATGAATACCTCCATTGGATTTGACAAATTTGTCGTAAGTTTCAAATGCATGGCTCTCCACACACTCAGAGAAATGATCTGCAATACCCAAGAAACCAAATGCATATACATTAGCATCATATGATGGATGCTAAAGCATGAGCAAAACCGTCAATGACCTCTACTAGTGTCTTGTCAATGAGAACAAGACGAAAACAAGGAAGAAAAGTTAGCATTTTTATTGTTTTTCTCCTAGTATTCCATTACAGCAGCTATCCACATACTTCCCCAATTTGATGGAGGGAGAGGACAAGGTAATAAAAGAGGGGTTTTGGTTTTTTTAATTTATTGTTTTTTTTTGGGCACATAGCTGTGATGTGTTGCTCTTCAAACAAAGAAAGCTCTGAGGTAGTAACCTTAAGTAAAGTCATTTTGTTTCCAGGAGAAGATCCTGACTGCCTTGGCAAACTTCTGACAGACTTTCAAACAGAACAAAATCTTCCATAGTACTTCAGAATAAATTGACCAACAGGATGTAAATGAGAAACGGTGGCAGAGATTTACAATAGTTTAGAACTAGTTATTCATACTCACATGCCATTCTTGGGCTCAAAACATACATAAAGACAGTCATGAAATAATAAAAGATTGCGATATGCTGAGCAAGAAAGCGATCGAACCACCACGCATTTCCCCCCAATTCCTGCAATAAAATCACTGTACTCAATATAAAGCAAAATCCGCAAATAAAATGCATCGAAAAGGTTCAAAAAGGAAAGTGTTGCGTAATTCAAAGCTCAGATCATGATAGACATTGACCAGCCATAAATAATGTACAACCACAAAATATCATATGCCTGTATGTCTTCAAAAGAACAAAATTAAAGCGGAAGCTTGCTCATTACATGATGTGTAATTTGACACTAACTGAAGCACTGAGCAGCATCCCACTGCAAAAGCTTCATAGTCCCATGGACACTCATAAACCACCTAAATCACTTTGGTCTGCCCAGCCTAATCTCCACTTCCTCTGGCTCGATCGCCATTGCCAAATATAAATCATGAGAATATGCAACATTTAACCTTACATGACAAGGCTGAGGGGATTTGCAGAGGAACATTGAATTCACAATAATCAGTCACACTGGATCTTTAGTGGCAATGGGCTCATTATAAAACAATCAAAATGTGTGGCAAAGAAGCCTGAAGCTAGAGCCTTACTTCCATTATAAGAAGATGGTGCATCTCATTCCAGCTCTCAGCAAAATGAACTTTCAGATAGTCTGCCCTTCTCCACCAACCACAAGTCTCATACAAGTGCAGAACAGACATAAAAGCTGCCCATGAAAACAAAGTAGAGCCACAAATCCTGGGTATGAGAATAGCACTCATAATGTGCTATGATATTCCAAGATATATATACGCAACAAAGCTTTTTAGCAATGTGCTAGATTCAGAGACCAACTAGCGAACTTTTACAGAACATGTAAATAACCTATTAAAGAAACATTTATCCAACCAAAGAAATTGTTAACTTGAGAAATGAGAATACCCTTCCACCATTTATTAGTTCCTTCTTCCCCCATTTGTCATGTAAACATAAAAAACAAGAAATGGTAATTTTCACAAAAAGTTTTGAATTTCATTTCCTTTTCATGAATGTACGTGATGCCAACATTGATTTAGTCAGTTCTTGCAGACATGGAAGCAGGACCATGAGTATATGCCAAAAATTGAGGTATCAACATTTTCTTACCAATATTTTTGAAATAAGCACCCTTTTGTAGCATATCAAGGATTTAAAAGCCTAAAGTGGTTCCTACTTTCTACCCTAAGCTAGACAGATGCTCCACTAGAGATTGGAACAAACATAAATATAAAAACTCTACTACTCACCAAAATATGGAACCCTTGCTATAGTTTCCAGAACAAAAAACCGCGCATAATCTCGGTCACGGTACAATGTGTCAAGTATCTTTATCACTGAATCCTGAAATGATAGATTGAATTACGTTAAAGCCAAACTGCATCAGCTTGTACCAGACAAGCACTTAAAGCCACTCAGGATCCAAGTCATGTGTCCTAGTAAGCAAGCAAGATTAAGATTTGAGCAGAGGAAACATGATAATGAAATAAAAAATGAATTCAACAAAAAAAAATTGACCTCTGATAATTTACAAAAGTAGAACATAAAATCCAAAACAAAGTTGAAACTCAAATTAGTAGCAACTAAACTTCTACCAAGATAATCAGAAATCACTTGCAAGTCTCCAAATATCAATTTTGTAATGGGTTTCATCTCAAACAGTAATCTCCAAAGAACAAATAGAACAATAGGTTCAGTTTTGCACAATTGCACAATATTTATTCTGCAAAAATTCAAAACCTTTATGGATGTAAGAGGACAGTTGCTATAAATAATATCAAAGAACATAATAATTACCGTGAGGAGGATATTAACAGATTGTTCAACTTTTATAACCCATCTCTCTAAGACACTAGCGGAAGAACTCTCTGGCGGCTCCCCATTGCCTCCTTCCCCTTTGTCATCAGGAAAACTCTTAAATTGCAATGACTCCTCCACAACTGTTTTCTCCTTGTTCTCTTCCAACACAGTTGCTTGGACTTTACACAACTTCCTATATCGGAGACCAAAAAATGTGAGGATAAAAGAAAATAAGAACAAACATTCAATTCACCTTCAGAACCCACACATCCATACAAATTACATAAACCTAACATTAACCCACCGCATAAATCAACACTCTTTCATCCAATAAATCAGAAAAATTCAGACATGTCAACGTGCAAGAGTATATCTAAAACATAAATGTGTATGCTAAGTTATACATGCATGCCCCACACAGATGTATGTTGAAGAGTAGGTTTCCTATTGTTTTAGCTCCTGAAAAATTAAAATTCACCTCAACCCACCCAATTACAAGTGATCAAATGAGTTAATTCTACTATCTTCTAAATATTAACAGAGAAAACCCAATGATTCCATGTTTTAATACTCTGTACTATTTCCAACGTTTCCTGAGCAACCAAATAGAGCAGTAAAAGATTGAAACAAAATACAGACCCCAATTACAAAAGAAACAGATTTCCCTGATTAAGGTATGGGTTTGTGCGTGTTTTGTGTATAAAAAAATTGACACTCGAATCCAATTTTACCTTGAATGGAGTGGATTAGAAGAAGCAGTAGAAGTGTGAGGTGACGAGAGAAAATTGAAACGAGAAGGGTTTTGGGAATTGAGGGAAGCTGAATGTCGTTGACTCCTTGTTTTCAATGAAGAAGACGATGATGAGACTGAGATTATAAACACCGTAGAAGAAAGACAACTCGCCATAACTTTCTTTCTCTCTCTACACCCTCTCCAATATCTCTGTTCAACGAGTTATGAGGCCGTGGAGGAATGAAAAATCAAACTTTATTTTGAAGGGAAAGTGGTCACTTTCCTAGGAAACAAACAAACAACGGAAAGTAGGTCTGATAAGAAGAAGACTAAAAATAGGTGTGGCGCATATTCCGCGTAGGGGCCCACAGNTATTTTGAAGGGAAAGTGGTCACTTTCCTAGGAAACAAACAAACAACGGAAAGTAGGCCTGATAAGAAGAAGACTAAAAATAGGTGTGGCGCATATTCCGCGTAGGGGCCCACAGGGTGAGGGTATTTTCTGTGGGCTAATGGGCCTAGATGCTTTGCCGGATGGGCCAAGCCTGGATTCTTGCGGAGTGCATAAAAAAGCCTGTCCAATAACGTGCAGTTAAAGTATAGTTTAATCGGATTTATTTATCAAATCATAATGTATACGAATGCTAATTAGGCTGAAATATTAATTAAGTGATGAGACTTTTCTGAAATACTCCATGATGAAGACACGTGTCCTCTGTATTTACCAAAACACTATTGCTAAGATCAAGCACCATCGGCGCATAAAGATCCTCGCGCCCCGAGGTACTCGTCATATAGGATCATGGCATTCAGTACGAGTTACAACCAACACGTAGCCTCGGTCTGATATGGTACCTCGGTCGGTATACCTCCCTCGGTTCCGAGATGAGCCTTTCCTCGGTGCCAAGAGGTACCCTGTCCTGGACGCTTCCTCTACTCTAGGATAAGCTATTGACGTACAGGTCATTAGCCTAGGCTAGTCTAGGCTATTCATTATGACCTCGTCTTACACAATTAGTGTCAGAACGTACTGGAATGCAGGGGCCACAGCCAATGGGGGATGGACGCGTGGCATATGATGTCACATCAAAGACAGAAAAACCGCATGCCGTTGCTGACACGCGACTTGGGAAAGCAGACGATTAATTACACCATTCCCTTGACGAGACTGCATTCAATGCGGTAAGACTCGAAAATGAAAGGCAATAAATGNTATGAGACTTTTCTGAAATACTCCATGATGAAGACACGTGTCCTCTGTATTTACCAAAACACTATTGCTAAGATCAAGCACCATCGGCGCATAAAGATCCTCGCGCCCCGAGGTACTCGTCATATAGGATCATGGCATTCAGTACGAGTTACAACCAACACGTAGCCTCGGTCTGATATGGTACCTCGGTCGGTATACCTCCCTCGGTTCCGAGATGAGCCTTTCCTCGGTGTCGAGAGGTACCCCGTCCTGAACGCTTCCTCTACTCCAGGATAAGCTATTGACGTACAGGTCATTAGCCTAGGCTAGTCTAGGCTATTCATCATGACCTCGTCTTACACAATTAGTGTCAGAACGTACTGGAATGCAGGGGCCACAGCCAATGGGGGATGGACGCGTGGCATATGAT